CCTACAAGATTGTAAAAGCCCAGTTAGCATGAAACTGGAGTAGACCAACATCACTTTAAAAGTTTAAATTGGATAAGAGACAGTGTGTGAGTGTTTTATTAATGCTATAAAAAATTACCACAAATACAATGGCTTCGAGCAACACAAATTTATCTTGTAATTCTGGAGGTGAGGAGTTTGAAATGGGTCTCATTGGGCTAAAATCAAAGTGTTAACAAAGCTGTGTTCCTCCTAGTGGCTCTGCAGGACAACCCATCCTCTTGTATTTTTCAGCTTCTAGAAGCTGATTGCATTCTTTGGGTCCAATTTCAAAGCCAACGTTGGACAGTCAACTCTTTCTCACATCCTAATTCTCTAACACTAACTCTCCTGCCTTCTTTTTCCATTTATAAGGACCCTTGTAATTACATTAGGCCCATGCAAATAATCCAGAATAACCTCCCAATTTTAAGGTCCTTAACTTAACCACATTTGCAAAAACCTTTTGCCATGTAGCATACATAATCACAGGTTCTTGGGATTAGGATGTAGACATCTTTGGGGGACATTATTCTGCCTACTGCAGACAGCACAGCATGTAATTTGTGCACTCTGCAATCTATCTGAAAAGTAGTTAGTAGAACAAAGATTTATCTATGAAACTGCATATACTGATTTTACAACAAATATACTCTATGGAGTCTACTTAGAATTAAACTGTACCTGAACTGAGTAATTTGGGACCTGGAAAAGGGGATGCAAGAGAAATCAACAGAGGTAAAACTGGAAGCCCTTTACAAGAAATTAGATGCAGGCTGTAGGCAAAGATAGTTGAAGTTCACTATACATGCATGACATAGTAATTCTGAATTAATTTTGTTATACACCATAGTCCTATTATCTTTTCTTAAAAATGATAGTAACTGTGTAAAAATAAATTTATGCTAATTTATGATTGATGAACTTTCCTAATTAGAAACTTTAGATACGAACACCCAATATACTGCTTGGTGTATTGTATAAGAACAAAATAGAGTGTAGAAATTTAAATTCTAGGTTCTAGAATCTGATTCTGCCAGATACTACTGTGTAGTCTTTGGCAAGTCACTTACAATTTCTGTGGCTATTATCAGAAATTAAAAATAGAGGTAATAAATAGTTCCTGCCTGCAGGGTTGCTCTAAAATAAAATATGTAAGTGCCAAAGACATTCTGGGCCACTGTTAGTGCTCAATAAAATATTAAGTTGTTATTAGGTAAACTAAGTCAGTAGCCTTGGGCAGCCAGGAAAGAGACACTGTAAGGCTAGAAACTCTTAGGTATCTATCCCAATGAACTTGAATCATCAGACTGATACATAAAACTAAAGAACATTGAGAATGACTGTCACATTGGATAATTATTAAGTTTCAGCACAAATTTTACACAAATATTATTTATCATAAGATGCAAAATTCCAAAGCTGCTCCAAAAATATTTTGACAAAATATGGATAGAAATAGAGCATTGTGGTAAAAACATGGCTTGCCTGTAAAGGGGCTCTAATGGGAAAGCAAGTTAAGGAAGAAAAAAAAAATCTCCCAAAGAGACACCATGTGTGCACCATGCACAGTGTTAGCCAAAGGAATAACAGAGTTAAGACCGCACATAAACTATAAACTACTGCTGCCAGAAGTTTAGAAACTCATTTCTTTAGAAAACTGACTAAACTATATTAGCTCCTTGTCTGATTTTAAGTAGAAAATGATTTAACCTCTAATTTCAATCTTTACAAAGTGTACTGGGTGGCCTCAACCTATGCTGCTTTCTGATTCTGTGTCTGTTTTTCCTGCCTCATCCTTTCAAGCTAAGCTGCAAAGGTTGCCATTTCTCACCTATAGTGAGAGTCCTTTCTAGGAACTGAGGTATATGGGCTTTGGCACAAGGACTATATACATCCATCCATGTCTCTTTGGATTGGCTTTCTATCCGTATGCTAACTGCAAGAGATTATTAGCCAATTTGAAGATAGGTGAGCTGTAATTTTATCTAAACTCAATATTGTCTCAAAGGATGTTGGGTGAATTTCATGTCATTAAATATCCAGAAGCATTATTTCTAATTACTTCTTAATCTAAACTGACAAAAAAAAGTAAGGTAAAATGAAGTCTAGCAGACTTCTTTCTACATTAGTCATATGGACTATGAGGAAATTTTGACTGCAGAGAGCATGTCAGAAAAAAAAAAATAAGTGATGCTCTCCTTTTCATTTAAATTACCTTAAAAAAGAAACAAATGGGAGTACAATTTTTTTCTGGCAATATCGTAAGTGTAAATTTTCACCAACTCTGTAGAATAATACCAGTTAGGCTTCTTCATGCAGAAGAGTTAAAATACATTACAGAAATAGGTAAACTTGAACCCAAACAGCACTAATCCTTTGCTAGGATTCGAACTAATTATCTCACTTTTTCATCTTATTTTGTAGTGGTAGTGAAGTCCCTTTAAAACAGAGATTATAATAATGCTGCTCCTGTGTCTGGTAAATGGATTATGGTTTAAAAGCTCATTGCCAAGATAGTTAAAAAGAATTGTCTAAAAGGAAGAGCTCTATAGGACAAATTATTTCCCTGGGCACTATTCATGGAACCATCCTTCCTATAATGAGGTCTTAGATGAGGCTGGGATGAGACATTTTCTTCTGGCCCTTCTTAAACTCTCTACTTTCTTCTTACTGTTCATTTTAATACATTGGATATCAGTGAAATTTGAGACAGGAAGACCTTATTCATTAACAACACAAATGCCCGGAATATTTCAAAGGAAGAATATGGCTATAGAGAAGCAGCAGAAAGTCAAACAGGGAAACACTGAAGTGAAAATGCTCCTTTAAAGTTATGAACATAAGACCAAACAATAAACAACACTTATGCATCAAAATCATGCACAGCACAAATTAGTACTTGATAGATAGTCACAGGGATGGGGAGCACAGCATAGAGAATGCAGTTAGCATTAATATGATGGCTAGATGGAGAACCAGAGGGAAGACAGAGTAATCAGGGGGATCATCTCATAAACTATACAAATGTCTAACCAATGTACTATACGCTTGAAACTAATAATAAAATAAATTTTTTTAAAAAAATTACAAATAGAACTACCACATGACCCAGCAATTGCACTACCAGTTATTTATCCAAAGAAAACAAAAATAGTAATTCAAAGGTTATGCCCATAAATGGAAAATTGCATAAAGAAGTTATGGTTCATATATACGAATATTACTCAACCATAAAAAAAAAAATGAAATCATACCATTTGCAACGGCCTGGATGGACCTTAAGGGTATTATGCCACATCAAATAAGTCAGACAGAGAAATACAGATACATTATGATCTCACTTACATGTGGAATCTAAAGAACAAAATAAATACACAAAATGAAAACAGACTAATAGATACAGAGAACAAACTGGTGATGGGATGGGGTTAGATACAGAGAACAAACTGGTGATTGCCAGATGGGCTGGGGGCTGGGGTGTGGGTGAAAGAGGTGAAGGGATTAAGAAATACAAATTGGTAGTTATAAAACAGTTATGGGAATGTGAAGTATAGCATAGGGAATATAGTCAATAATACTGTAAAAACTATGTATGTTGCCAGGTGGGTATCAGAAAAAAGTGGGGGGATCACTTCAGAAATTATATAAATGTCTAACCACTATGCTGTACACCTGAAACTAATATAATATTGAATGTCAACTCTAATTGAAAAATAAGAATTAAAAATAAAATGTCAAAAAAAAAATCATGTACAGCAGGAGTTAAATACAGAGAATAAAGTTCTCTTTTTTACTCATCAGTTCACTAAGAGTTCTTTGAGAATAGAGTGTGGGTAAGATTTGTACCAGATATTATTAATATAAGGAACACAAAAGAAATCAAAATCTCCTGGTCCATGTCTTCTAGGAGCTTACAATCTTTATTTAGAGAGACAAGTCTCTAATGAAATAGCTAATTATAATTATAGGCAAATCAAGATTGAGTCCCAACAGTTAGAAAATAAAAAAAATAAGTAGGTAGAATGTCTCCAAAGACTAATGTAAATTTCAACTGTCCAAAAAGATCTTATGGAGAAGGAAAAATCTAAATTTTACCTGAGTTTAATAAATCACTTATTTATATTCCAGTCCAGTTAGTTCACACACACACACCCCACACGGCCCTACCTGAAATTACAAAAAATAAAAAAATAGAGAAACATGTCTACGGATATAATTTAGCCTAGTACAAACAGTACTAAGGATACATAGTAGAAGAAACTCAAGCAAAATGCCTCAGGCAGAGCTGCAGCTCAATTCTGAAGGACACATTAACCCAGCACAGAGGTAGTAATAAACGATGTGTCTCAATAGGAATAATCCAGTGTATTTCGACTCAATACCTTTTTTCAGTTCAACATCAGAAGAAAAATCCCCCCCAAAAGATAATTACAATGGGATTATTCTCAAGTAGATGGCAAAATATGTTCAAACTTCCTGGAATATTCAATTTAATGTTTACTTTATCAATGAAAACAAAAACTATCACAAAAGATAGTTGCTTGTCAGCTATTTTAACAAAAATTCTCACCATAGTTTTTCATAAGACTTTCTTCTCCCACTGTATTCTTTACTTTGAAACATTTTCAAATCTCAGACATTGAGTTGCACATCTAGGAAGGGCCAAGAATAAACTCAAGACAACAATGGCAAGAACTCCAAAAGCCTCAGAGCCTGACACTAATTTACTGAGACAGATAAGGAACTCTTGGGAATGAAGCATTTGCTAATTAGACCACCATGAACAGATTCCCAAACCTTGACAAAGTTTTTCTGAACATCTGATGGAGAACTCTGATTTATGGGCTGTCCAGGTGAAACATGAACAGCTGGCATCTTTTAATAATAATTGACATATGAGTTCGTTAAGGATCTCAATCTCTAGAAAACACACAGCTCTATAGAAGAAAACAAAGAGTGACAATTTTAGAGTCATCTACCTTATCTTTGTCTTCGACAACATCTGCCAAGACGTCATCTGGATCCAGGATTCCTCCATCTGTATATTCTAAATGATGAATCTTCACCCAGTAGCCAGGATCCTGTAGTAGAACCAACAAGTTTCATAACTCAAATTTTTTAAAAAGTAAAATATATTGTAACTTTAAAAGAAAAAAAATGGCACATTAAAAATAGGCTCCCCCCAAAAAAATTTAAACACAAAAAATCAAATGTTATCGATTCATTTGGATAAATATTTGGCATTTCTGTCCTGTTTAACAGAAATTAGTAAATCAAAATATTTCATCAATTTTCCTAGAAGATAAACTGCAAAGCAAAAATAAATTGGTCAGCTATTTGAAGAGCATAATCAAGGAATTTTTCAGAGCCCACAATTTAGGTAATCTCAAGATACTTTGGAAAACAAAGATCTTCTTGAGGGTATTTTCTGAAACTGGGATTGGAAGTTCAAACAGATCCCAAAGCTGTAGGGAAGAAATCAAAAGGCAGAAATGTGTTGGCAATAGCCATAACTTTGGAATGTATAGGTGACATGACGTGAACATCGACCTCTTCACCTGTTTAAATCACCATGCTATATGTTTGTCCTCAACTCTGAGATCTGCGGTGATATTTGGAGCAAGAGCTCCAGCACTGGTTTCCATTTATTGTAAATTGACAGCAACTCAAACCGTGTTCAGAACTGAATAGGGGGTTCACTCAATTGGGGCACTAATTTAGATTTCCCAGCACTGTTTTTAAAAAAACTGTTTAGTAGTATAGAGCTTAAGGAAAAGAATTATTTTCTCAATTTGATATATGGCTATACACACTAATACTATAGCTTAGAATTAAATAATGTAGCTCATTCAGTTATTTATGCACTGTCCATTTCCAGAAAAGATATGAAAGTAAAACATTATAATAATGAAAAAGAACATGAACCAATGAACAGAGAAGAACACTGATAAGGTTTTTACCAGAATACCCAACCTATAATCAATTTGGTTCTGGAATTCTTAGAAAGCCTCTCAAACTGAGAAATTTTTATCTATAAATTACTGTTTCTAATAAAGGAATAGATACCAGTTTGTGAGAAGAGATGAAAATTATTCAAGGATAAAGCCCTAAGCCTTTACCACATGAATCTTTATAAAGTATTAAGAACTAACATAACCCCCAGAATTCAAGTGCAATTTTACAAAAACTAATAGAAATAATTGTCACATAGCCTCTTCTTTAACTAACCCATACCATTATAAAAATAATTCTTTTGAAATATCTGTTCAAAAGACTACTGAAATGTGTCCCAAGTACATAGCTTTTCAGTAATCTGACTTGATAAAGTAATAGGCTTTAAAAAAGAAATTTGCCTCAGCTAGGCTTTCAACATTTCAAAATTAAGTTCTCTGTAGAGTATTCAAGAGTTATTCCAAGTAAAATAAAAGGAGTTTCTTCTGCTTCTAATACTAGGCTTATAGGTGGAAACACCCATGACTTATTAGGAAACTTTGCCTGATTTTATGCCCGGATAGAGATCACAAAGATAAGAGCAGTGATTATACAACCAGGTAAGAAAAGTATAAGGTACCCATCAATCATTCTTTAATCAGAAATCTTTGCCAACTGGAGGTGATTATGCTATAAAAAGGTAAGCTAAGTACGATAGACTGTGTTCTAAATAGAATACTGGAGTAGACAAGGCACTATGCAATAGCCACTAGACTATACAGAAAAGATAGCAAGAAAGAAGTCCCCCAGTATCCTTTGGAAAGTGAATCTTTTTGCTGTGGCCATGCCATGAGCAACATATTTTTCCAAATCTACACAGGACTTCTGACTGAAATCTACAGAGTATTGCATTTTCCTTATAAAAATAGCCTTCTTACCAAAGGAGTTCAATTTAATTTATTTATATTAACGTCCATTGAGTTGTTTTTTGATGTATTACAGCACTGTAGATAAAATCTGTTGATTTTAAACCTGTTTATAAAAGATGATGTAGTCTAAAGAGTTTGCTTTTTTCATATGCAATTACTTAAAAGCAGACAGCTATTAAGTTCGCTTTCTATTCATATTCAGTTTGTAAAAGCAGATTTTATCAACTAAGACTGAGGTACATACACAATTACCCCCAACAACTGCAGTACAAGTTAAAGTACACCTCTCTCTTCCTGCCTAGGGTAGGAATGAGGAGAAGAAAACCAAAGGCTCTGATTAACACGCTGAAACTCAGGAAACAGCAGGGGGTATGATCTGATCAGTGGCAGAAGGAGTAGCAGACAAGTGGCAGCAAGATGGGGTTAAGTCACATTCCTCCCTCACACATACTTGTGGAGTCTAAGATGTTCTAGAAAACAAGGCAAATGTCTTGAAACTAAGACATTTATCTCTAATTTTGATTCAAAAGAGTACTTAAAAGTTTTACAGAACTAAATCAAGTTTAAAAAAAAAGCAATTTGATACATTTTGGAATCATGTATTTCAGTCAAAAAAAATTAAGTGAAATACATGTTGCCAGAATTTGAAAAGACTGCAATTTTAACTCTCCCCATTCCACACTGATACTACATTGCATATACTTCAAAGAAGAAAAGAGTAGGCATCTAGTCCTGAGCAAAAACAGAAAAGCTATATGAAAATAGTCTTAGTTAATATTTTACACATTCAAGAAAGATAAATCAACAAACACAGTACATACTAACTGTAATTTTGTCCCCATGGTATTTTGGTTATGGTGCTATAGATCACTTTAAGAATATACATTCAATATTAGCAGCTGACAGCCCTTGCAAGACCATAAATTCACCCTGACTCCTTTATGCATGTAAAAATATCAACTATTACCTTGCAGTCAACATTTTGCATTTCATTTATTTGCTTTTATTACCATCAGGAATAAAACTGATCAAACATGAAAAGATGTTCACATACATGTTATGGTTCACACAATTAATCACCTGGAAAAATTCACTGCATTTTTCATGATTGTGACATTTAATCTACCTTTATATTGCACAAATATCTCTAATACAGACAAATTTTAAATTATTTTAGTGCATCTCTAGTATATGAGCTATGCAATAAATCTTATTATTTACACTCCTAGGATCATTAAAGTATTAAAAAATAACATAATATACATTATATTTACTCCACTTTTGGTAGTATGGTGTCTGTTTTTTAAATAATGCACAGTTAACTTAAACCTTACCAGAATTTTAAAACTAAAACGGTCTATAAGGTTGAACTAGAAAAGGATATAAAAACATATGCATTACGGGAAGAAGACAATTACAGAGTACTTTTAATGATCAGTGTAAAAATTGTTCCGAACAGGCACTGAAACGAATAGCAACAAAATTCTTCACTGTGAGTAGATGACATAAAATTTGCCCCTATACCTTAGAAAACTTATATTAGCCTAAGTTTTGAAGAACGGTAATTTTTCATCTGCAATATCTAGAAGAGTAAGCTGGCAAGCCAGGTACTATAGCACCATGACTACCAAGTACTGAGATTATGTCAATAATCAAAAGACAGGGAAAATGTGGAGTTTCTAAGCAAAATGTCTCGGGTCCAAGAAGAGAAAAAGCTACCTTGAAATGGTGGCAAGGTCCCAAAGGGAGGAGGGCCTGGCAAAGAAAAAGCCAGTGACTGAAGCAGGACTATGTTATCAGTAGTGGCAATTACAGTGTCTAATAAGGCAACCGGATTTTTGTGGCTTAATGTTTTCACAAGAATAATCTTACCCACTGGAAAACAAGAACATTTATAAATTGGAAGCTAATGGGAAATTAGAATTTTCCTTACAGAATTTATCATGAATCTAGTAGAATGTAACCATAAAATGAGATTCTACCATTTCATCATCTCCTTCATAATTATAATAGCAGATAATTTGTTTTAGTGCTCACTATAGGCCAGGAAGTATAGGTATTGCATGTTTTATACGATTTAACTCATTTATCCTCAAAGAGACTACTAAAGTGATTATCAATCCATTTTACAGACGAGGAACGCAAGGCATGAATAGGTGAATTAGCTTACCAAGGTCATATGCTCAATAAACAGCAGAGCTAAGGTGCATTTTTTTTTAACAAAAAAAATATATATATATATATTTTTTCAGATTAAAGAACAAAGAGAACAATTATCTAAGAATAAGACAGGGGATCAGATCCATTTTGATTTCTACTTAAGTATACAGATCTAAACAAGTCTTCATTACTCTGGGCCTCGGTTGCTTCACAATTAGTGAATCTGAAGGCACTATGGCCTTTTGCACAATTTACCAGATAGAGGACACAAGAGGGCAATAATGGAAGGCCCCAAAGTCTTTGCATAAGTGTGTCCAGTATTTCATAAGCGAGAGAAGCTTCTGAACATAATTCCTCATAATCATGAAATTAGATTTGGGAAGCAATGAAAAAAGATCTTTCTGCTAAGAGTAGAGAGGGAGCCTGGGGCATTAGAAGTTGGATAGAGAATTATGTAGTTTGACATATGCATGCGCATTCAAACTACATCTATCATAATCCTGTAGGGTTATTCCCCCTTCTATCCAAGACCAGAAGAGAATCAGAGGCCCCAGAATGTAACCAGGAAAGCACAGTGATCAGAGCAGGTCTGGAGACTGGGGCAGGCAGAGAGCAAGGGTCTCTGAATAACCAAACACGGACAGTGTAGGGGAAAACAAGAGTTCCAGAAAATGATGCTTGAGCAAAGCCTAGCAGAGTAGCACTGATACCTGAAAGGAAAGAATTAAGCTACAAAAGGCACCAATGGATATAGAGCTTAGTACGAGTTGGCCTTAACTGACTTTAGAATATGCCTTCACAGTCCTAAAACAGATCAACCAAATGCAAACTTGAGAAAAGAAGAAAATATGAGCTGATGCCATACTTTTATCAAGTATGTTTCCAAAGAATTCAGGAGAACTAAAATGGGACCAAGGGTGTTTATGCTGGGTTGAAGTAATACCTGGTGAATTCAACAACAGAATTATAAATTTCTGTATAAAATTAAGGTGAATCAGTGCATCTGTAAATTCACTTCCAGCTTTAAAAATCTATGATCCTACTAAAAGAAACTTGATATA